GCCTGAATTGCGGAAGAAGGATCTCGCGGAAGGATCATCAGACTGAAGCTGAAATTCGGTAACCTGATATAACTGACACTGTTGGTTGAGCACTAAATTGGACTTAGTGTGATTTCAAATTTTCCCCGTTGCTGTTATTTCTTTTTGATTGTTTCAAGTCCTTTTGTATTTTTATTATATTTTCATTTTTATATTTTTTTATTCTGATTGAATATTGTATTGTTTTTTCTCATTTGTTTCCTATTTTGTTTCTAAGGTAACGAGAGTTGAAAGGAGAATTTAAAGGGTAATTGGGTGAAAAAGTTGTAGCTAGAATTAGATTTAAACATAGCTAAAATTAGGTTTAACTGTAATTAGAATTAAATTATTCTATTAACTAAATTATTATACTATAAATAGGTCAAATTAGCTTTATATATATATATATATATATATAATAAAAATAAAAAAAATAAAAGAAAGGGAAAATAAATTAGATTTATTAGCTTGAACCTAAATAGGACTTAACTCTAGTGTAAAGAAGTCACACTTTCACTTGTCCAGAACAAAACTTTTGCCGTCTTCCTGATTATTTATTATTTTTCCTCTTTTGAGTTATGTGACAATGTTTTGAAATTTTACTGCCTTGTCCTATTATCATTCTTCTATTTCTTTATTTTATTTACTAATTCCTCGAAATATACTTACCTGTTCTAACGCAGTTCAAGTGTGTCCTTGATTCTTTCCCCTTGTTGTTCACACGGTCTCTTGAGCGAGTCTAGTCTTCTGATCGCTGGTCCAAATCTTAGAGCGGTGCACCTTCTTCATGCTCATCTGCATATTTCGTAGTTTGAGAGTGGGGGTTGTGTTCTAGCCGCGAGGCGTGTTACAACTAACATTGAAGGCGATGATTTGCCACTGAAGTCCCTGTGACATGAAGCCGTCTGCCTAAAACATAAATGTAATTTAATTGGACAGTTTAATCTGTGAAAGCACTCAGGAACAGAACATCTTGTTTGCTTTAAAGCTGTGATTAATCTATCTGTTATACAAGAGCTACTGACTGTTCTAACACCAGTAATCCAAAATGATTTCTGTGATCAGATTATTCCCGTCCCCCTTCATCAACCACACACACACACACACACACACACACACACACACACACACACACACACACACACACACACACACACACACACACGCCTGTCAGATGATTAACGCGCATGCCATTTTCTGTTCTCACAGCCAATGAGAACTCATTCTCATACTATTAAAAATCACATTTGTATTTGCACAATGTAAAAATAATCCTCATGATGCAGAAAAACTACAAAATATTATTTAAATAGTGGAACATGTATAGATCATCTGCTAATGATTTTGATGCTGTGAACCTCCAAATGTTGTCAAGAGCTTCGCTTTGTTACATATAATATTATGCGTGATCATTTGAAAAATGTGTAAATAGACTAAATTCTGAACATTTAACATAAAACACTATTCAAAGTTTAATTTGCAGGAAAATTTGAATAGGCCTACGTTTAAATAAATAATTGTGAGACAGACATACAGTACATTTTAGTCTGAGACTAGACTCAAGCCTAGTCTGTGAAACCGGGGGCTAGTGTTTTCTTTATGACAATAGTTTTACCTGTAACTGTCTATGGTGCCTTGAATGATGTGGAAACGCCTGAGCCGTTATAAGGAAACAGTTGTGCAATATTCTATACAAAGAAAGAAATAATAATTAAAAAACACAAATATCGTGACAGATACACAGTGAGAGTTTCTGAATTAAGACGATGATGAAGAATATTGAACTTCGTCTGGAGAGCGAGACCAGTTGGCTTTTGATTTAGTAATCTATAATTATGAAATAACTGCACACTTTAATCATAAGTTGCTCTTCTGTGTGTGAAGTGACTCTCGGTTGGACGTTTGTGTCTGTCACGATGTCTTCTCATCTGTGTGTTCTGATCCTGTTTGTTCTGAGCGGTGAGAAACCCTTAACACTTTTAATCAGCAAATGTGGAGCAGTTACTGAAATGCTAATGCAATAAAATGCATGTTTTACATTTTAGAAGTGCAGGACTAAACTCCAGGAAATGAGATTATTATGTCTCTGTTTTATATTTGTATGCGTTCTTCAGGTGTGTGTGCTTGACACTGATACGGATGAAATGAAGTCAGTGACTGAGGAAGATTCTGTTACTCTAAACACTGATTTTACTGAAGTATTGAGAGATGATCAGATACGGTGGATGTTTGGACCTCGTGAGACTCGCAGCTGAAATATACAATCAGAACATCAATATGTTTAAGAGTAATGAGACATTTGGAGACAGACTCCAGATGGACAGTCAAACTGGATCTCTGACCATCAGAAACATCAGATCTGAACACACTGGACTTTAGGAAGTACAGATTCACAGATTCAGAGGGATCTTCCTCAAGAGATTCAACAGCCCAGGCGTCATCTAACTGACGCTTTTGACCATGTTTGGCCATGCGTCAATATGCCGACGCACAGGGTACCCCTTGAGCGTCAATATGAGACGCGCCTCCTAGTGGTCTAATCCTAACCCTACCCCAGACCTAAACCTACCCATAACGGAAGCGTCATCTAACTGACGCTAAAGGGTGCGCGGCATTTGATGACGCCCGAGGATGAGCGTCTCATGTTGACGTTTGGGGGGTGGTGTGTGCGTCGGCATGTTGACGCATGGTCAGAAGCGTCAGTTAGATGACGCCTTGGGATGAGACTGCAGCCCACTCTTTAAGTAAATCTACAGGTAGAACCATTAATTTTCCAATTAATGTAAACACACATTGTCTTAATATCTTGTAACATTTATTCTGGAAAATCTTGATGTGTTTAAAATTATGAACAATCTTTAGAAATGTATTTTATTAGTAGTCCTAAAATAATATATTTGTTCTTGTGTTTCCAGCTCCTCTTCCTATTCCCGTCATCACCGGTAACTCTTCAAACTGTTCATCATCATCATCATCATCATCATCATCATCAGAGTCCAGATGTTCACTGGTGTGTTCAGTGTTGAATGTCAGTGATGTGACTCTCTCCTGGTACGCAGGAATCAGTGTATTGTCCAGCATCAGTGTGTGTGATCTCAGCATCAGTCTCTCTCTACCTCTGGAGGTGGAATATCAGGATAACAACACTTACAGCTGTGTGATCTACAATACCATCACACACCAGACCACACATCTGGACATCACTCAACTCTGTCACACATGTGAAGGTACTTCAATATATGTACCAGGGTAATTTACAGGCAATGGTGCGTGATATAGATAAATCACATATATATACAGTATATATATTTTTAAATAAAATGTATATTTATATAATATATTTTACTTCCTTTTTGCTTTTGGTGAGATCATGAGCTTTTATGAGGTATTAAGCGCACTAATGGTTGTGTTTTTTTATTTTTCTTCTCTCAGACTCTGTCCAGTGTTGTAGTTTTACTGAAGCTGTGATCCGATTGGTCCTCTGTGTTCTGGTGGGCGTGGCTACTGTTGCTGTATAGCTGGGTTTCAGTCACGTGATTATGATGACGCGCGGAATTCAGATGGAGGGCAGGGGAGTGAAGAGCGCAATGGACGAGATGGAGGAAAGTCCGTACTGTACTACTTTACACGCTATTACAAGAGAAAGATGTAAACAAAAAATCAAACATATGTTGGACGTGATCCTTACGTTATGAAGAGGTGCGATTTTCAACTGAATTGAAAGATTTTCCTGCCATCGAGGCGGTAGATATCAGCAACTACCTCGTCTTACAGACATACTTTGACTTTACAAAGTTCGTAAATGTTACACGTTACACAAACATAGCCACTTAAGTTGTATTAACTCACCATTAACGAAGTGATCACTGCACAAACGAGCATTTTCCCATTCGGCTCCTCCCGACCGCAGACGTAGGTTTGCAAGCCGTTTTTCCGGAGTTTTTCGGTCAATTTCTTTAATTTTCCCCCTTTATGAACAACAACTTTTGGTACACGATAAAAACTCCTCGTGGTTTGATCGATTTAAGTAACCATAAACGACGCAAAACATAGGCATTTTGAGTTTGTTATAGTGCTTTCTAAATACAGCAAATCACTTCCTGCCCTCCATTTGCATTTCGCGCCATGGCAACGCAGTGGCGTGACGTCATATGAAAACAAGCTATTGGTTGATCATTTCAGATCCATGAAAGTTGAACAGAAAATGAGGAAACAGACAGAAAACAGTCAATCACCATCAGTTCCTCAATGATTAATCCTATTCTCCCAAGTGGTCACTAGATGGCGAGGTTAAACAACCCAATGATACACTGTAAGTAGGTGTTTTTCTCCATGCTTTGCATATCAGTGTCAATTTGCATATCATATCAATTAAATTTAAAATACTTCTATGTACATTAAAGCATTGGTTTGATTTTGTGTGCTGTATTGAGAAATGTATATTATTGCAGTAGGCTAAGGCTTGTGTTGCAAATTTCTTATTCTCTATTAAAGCATATTTTCTGCCTCATTGTGGTTTTCATGATTTTTTTAAAAATAATGCAAAATACAGAAAACTGAATATTTTAATATTCTGTTTCCAAAATGTTGTAATTAATTTCATATAATGTTTTTAACTTTCGGCATTTAAAAAAAGTCAGTTTACATTAGCCTACAAAATGTAACCTTATAGAAACGTTCCAAGACACCTTGGTCCAAGAATCACCAGAATCACGAGACTCACCCTGTTTCTGGGACTATATGTCACAAACGCAGATGCAGTTCAACTATCACTGCAAGAAAACATTTGAAGAGTCAAATTCAGCTATAAATAACCTAATTGAAACCTCTATCTATACAAAAAGTAAATCTATAGCAGATATGTTTCAGTTCATGATCAGTTCTGACTCATAACCAGAAATGAGGTCATCAGGCATCGCTGAAACTTCCTGTGCTCAGCTTTAAAGAGATCGAACACACAGTCACACTCGATCTCCAGCATCATGAGGAGTTCAGTTGTTCTCATCCTCTGTTTACAAGGTAATCTACACTTATCCTGCCTTTAGTTTTTACATTATAGACACACATGAAGATTCTTGCTTTTAGACTTTTTTTTTTTAATTAAGCTACATTAATGTCTCAATACAACAAAAGTATAGGGTTTTTTTTTGTAACATTTTTACAGTTACTTGAAAATACGTTAATATTTTAATATTAAAAGTTAACAGATTAACTAGTAATGAAGATAGTGGAAACTCAGAGAGAATAAAGCCACTTCCTGCTAGACTGTTGGTCATTTCCTGTTTTTCACCTGTCGGCTGCATTGATATGAAGTTTTATCTGTATTTTATCTATTCAGTTATTTCAGGTGTATTTGGTGCTGGTACAGATGAAGTGAAGTCAGTATCAGTGATGGAGGGAGATTCTGTCACTCTACAGACTGATGTTACAGATATGAAAGATGTTACAGATATGAAAGATGTTACAGATATGCTGAGTGACGATCACATACTGTGGATGTTCGGACTGCAAGGCTTTCTCATTGTTGAAATGGATAGAAAGACCAATGACATTGTATTACATGATGGTGCTGATGGGAGATTCAGAGAAAGACCCCAGATGGACAATCAAACTGGATCTCTGACCATCAGAAACATCAGATCTGAACACACTGGACTTTATAAACTACAGACCATCAGCAGCAGAGAGATCTCATACAAGAGATTCAATGTTACTGTCTATGGTGAGTAATAATGTGATGGTGACTTTTTTAAAACTATTTTATTATGTATATCAATAAAAACTAACTGTAAATTAATTTCATGAAATAGTAGTGTTCACAGGATCCAACTCTGAAAAACTGCCTTTGTCTTTCTGTATTGTCCCTTTTGTCCAGCTTCTCTGCCCAGTCCTGTCATTTTAAGTTCCAATCTACAAATTGAATCATCATCATCAACCCAGTATTGTTCACTGGTGTGTTCATCAGTGTTGAATGTGAGTCATGTGACTCTCTCCTGGTACGCAGGAATCAGTGTATTGTCCAGCATCAGTGTGTGTGATCTCAGCATCAGTCTCTCTCTACCTCTGGATGTGGAATATCAGGATAAAAACACTTACAGCTGTGTGATCAACAATCCTGTCAGCAACCAGACCACACATCTGGACATCACTCAACTCTGTCAGATGTCTTCAGGTCAGTCAGTGTCTGAGAATATTACACAAATATGTCCTATTGTTCTGATTAATTGACATCTGACAGTGCTCTGGTGTTTATGCAAGTTCTGCCAAGCTTGTGTTTTAGTCACTTTGTGAAGTTTTTTATGCTCGTCTTCCCTTAGACCCTGACAACTGTTGTGGTTTCACTGAAGCTGTGATCCGATTGGTCATCTCTGCGGTGGTGGGTGTGGCTACTGTTGCTTTTGTCGTTTATGACATCAGATCTAGAAGAGGACAGCAGAGAACAGACTTGACCATGAGTCTCTAAACAAGTAGAAACCGTCTCTCTCTTTCTAAAATGTTTCTATTTTTTTCCCTGAAAATGTGAACTATGAAAATGCATTTTAAGAAATGCATTTTTTTTTTTTTTTTTTTTTTTTTGCAAAGAGCATGTATATATATATCTCAGTCTTAATTTCTCACTCTTAGAAGTCAAGATTTAACTAAAGGATCAAACTAATTCTAAATTGTAATTGACTTTTAATACAGGATGTTCCCCTTCAGTTCTATTCATCCTTGTAATCTGATAAATCTGGGTTAATCAACAAGGTACAATATTATGATGTAGGATATTATGGTAAATAAAACTAAATAAACATATGAGTGCTTTTACTCAATTACTGGCATTTTCCTTGTTTTTATGACCTGATACATATCAGTGTCCCACACTTCTTTGGGGCAGTCGTGGCCTAATAATAAGAGATAAGTCTTGTTACCTGAGATTGCAGGCTTGATTCTCAATACCAGCAGGAAATGACACTTGAGGCACCTATAACCCCCCGGGTGCTACAGCAAAAATGGCTGCCAACTGGTCTGGGTGTGTGTCCATGGTTTGTAGTGTGTGTGTGTGTGTGTGTGTGTGTGTGTGTGTGTGTTAACTACTCATTCCTAATAATGTGTGTGCACTAACTTGGATGGATTAAATGCTGAGGAAAAACTAGTATGGGTTACCATACATGGCCTTTACATGTCACTTGCACTTCTCACATCGACCTCTAGATGTCTCTCACACCCCATCAGCTTCGATGGCAACCTGTTGGCACACATGACTTTGTACAAAGTAAAGTACATGCACATTATTCTTCACTGAACACAACAAGGCAAATTAAGCTTGGCATTCTGTCAGATGCTGAAGGATTACATGAGTTACATGAGTTCTCTTTTAGAGACTACTTCATTGGATCACTTACAAGCCTAATGTAGGCTACTACACGAGGTGCCTGCATACTCGTCTTTAATTCTGTCGCTGAATATGTAGGCTAAATAGTCCTTAGATACTCTAGTATTGGCGGTTGATTGTAGCACTATAGGGTATTATAAGAAGTTCTTAGACTCTTGATATAAAATGGTGTTGCTGTTTACTTTGTTTATGTTTTACTTGCATAATGATTATTATTCCCAGTTATTTAAAAAAAATAATTTGATGTAGGTCTACATTTCAAGCATCTTAGTTGTTCATCATAATCATTTTATCACCTGCATTTCTTCTTCTGGGTACTTTTCACTCTCTTATTCCTGTCCTCATATATCCTGTCCTCACATGCTCTGTGACCTCGTTTTTTCTGCCTGGCATTACAGCATTCAGTCTCCAACACTGACTGTAACCTGATACTTTCGACAGACCTCTGAGTTAACTCGGAGAGCTCTGGGAATTTCCGGATCGGATGAGAGACAACACTATAATTAAAGAGGTAAACAGTTGCTGATTTGAGCATAAATGTGAGTCCACAAACAAATGTTATTAGAGATATTACCCTAAATGCATGCTTCATATAGGCCTACATTACATTAAACTACATAAATGCATTTCCACAAATTTCACTCATGGTGATCGCAACGTATTGGGGGAAGGGATATCTTAAAATTATTTTGAAATAGCATTTTTGACATTTGGACTCTAGCCATTGTAACAAAAGCAGCTCTACATAAGAAAAAAATTACAAATACGTGGTCAGTGTAACAAAACTTTATTTAGAAACGTGTAAAAAATATCCCCCACAACTATTCAAGTCATGTCCCTGAATGACTGGTCCCATTGAGGCACTGGCCTCTCAGTACTTCTTTCTCCCCCTCCACAACTGCGGCATCTCTCCCTGCACCTTTCAAGAAGAAAACACAACAGAGCAATGGTAACTGTCATGAACAACCAGAGACAGGTTAGATCCAAACGCAGCGTGAGTTTATTAGAGGGTAGTCAGACAGGCAAGGGTCACAGACAGCAAACACAGCATAGGAGACTAGGCAAAACTCAGGATCAGAAAACCAGGCGAGAAGTCAGGCAGGCGGCAGACGAGACGGAATCCAGGAAACAGGCAATGGGTCAGATACACAGACAGGAACAGACTAGACTAGGATAACTAGGAAACGCTCGGAGATGTACACAACAGTGAAACAAGACTTCGCAAAGGGTAATAATGTGAGTGGGGTATAAATGAGTGTGGAGCTGCGTGAGGAACTAGATGCAGGTGGGAGCGTGATCAGTGAAAACAGGTGTGTGCGTAATCAGTCCAGGGTGTGAGTGTGAACAGTCCAAGGGAGGCAGTGCAGAGGTGGAGCGCCCTCTCGTGGCACTCGAGGGCAATCCAGCCGAACATCGTCACAGTAACGCTTTAGCCACATATACAAATGAATGGAGCTATACTACCAATATTGTAGTAAATGCAAATTCATCATTCAGTTAGATCATTTTTAGGGCTGCAACAACTAATCGACCACTAAACGTTCACCAGTCGCGCCGCCAAATCACAACACTGATGGACAAAATGCATAAAAAAAAAATAGTGGAGGAAACATGTGTTCTGCTGCGGGAAAGGTACGTGATCCGCGCTGCCCCAAAAATGAGAATTCTTTATTTTAAGCTTCAAGCTGATGCTTGAACTAAAAAGCAAAACCATGGTTTATTTGTGGTCACAATAACTATACAATAACCCTGATTATTTTATTTTTTAGTAAAACCATGGTTAATTTTTGTAAGGGTATTCACTATGTATTTTTCATAGCACTCAGCTGACATGTTTGTTTGAAGGCCAGCATTGGGCAGGGTGAAATAGTGTGTTTTTAAAAAAAAAGACAAAAAAAAGGCCTTTTATCCAATTAATCAAAAAAAATAACCAGCCAACTAATCAATTATAAAAAAAAATCGTTAGTTACAGTTATACTGATTTAATAACAGCCACTGTGAGATGGTTGCCAACCATGAGACCAGTGATGAAGTTAAGAAAATAATTCAATCTAATAAACACCATATGACGTGCCAGATTTTTTTTTTTCTGCATACCTCTGATTCCTGTTGTAGATTATTCTGATGAACCACTCACTCACACAGGATTGACAAAACCAAAGTGAAAAAAACCTTTATATGGTGTATTAAAATTATGTTCCTAGTCTGGAGTTTGCTCTAATGTGAAGAGTCTGGAACAGGAGAATCGCCAGACTCATTTCTCGCTGCAGTATAGCCTGCTAAAGTAATCTTTCAAAAAACGTCAGTTTCTGTCTGTTCACCGGGTCAATAAGGTGAACGTTAGCTTGTAAAAATACCTTTTTATAATTATAGTTATCCAGTTATGAAATTATATAGCCCACAGTTGCATTAATAAAACACAGTACTTAAGAAAATGTAAAGTGCTGCTCCAACAATCTTTTGTGTTTAACGTAAGAAAGCAACAATATGAGAGTAAGTCATTTTTGGGTGAACTTTTATGACTGTGTAAGTATGTAAGCTCATATTT